TTGTTGAAAATCTTTTACCATTTTATAGGCTGCCATTTTGTCTTGTTGACCATGTCCTTTGCTTTACAGAAGATTCTCATTTTCAGGAGGTCTCATTTATTAATTTTTGTTTATTATTAATTTATTGATTATAATTATTGTATCTCTCAGTGTCTTTGCTACTGAGGTTATATTTAGGAAGTGGTCTCCTGTGCCAATGAACACATTGGTACTTTCGATAGTTCTTATGCAAAGAGTTCTTTTAAAGAGTTTCAGTTGCAGCCGGGCGGTGGTGGCGCACACCTTTAATCCCAGCACTTGGGAGGCAGAGGCAGGTGGATCTCTGTGAGTTCGAGGCGGCCTGGTCTACAAGAGCTAGTTCCAGGACAGGAACCAAAAAGCTACGGAGAAACCCTGTCTCGAAAATTCAAAAAAAAAAAAAGAGTTTCAGTTGCTATTTCTCATTAAAAGTAAGAAAAAGCTAAAGAAATGATCATAAAGCTACTCCATAGTTTATAAAATGGGATAGAAATATTTTTGTTGTAATATACCAAAGATGCACAGGTGATGTGTAGAAGATTGGATTTTAGGATTTTTTTTATATTAATTTCCTTATAACCCTTACCTCTTCATAGGCTTTACCTCTTCATAGCCCTTACCTCTTCATAGGCTTTATTTTATATTTGTAGTCAAATTTGTGAATTTTAAGTGCCATTCCACTGACCAATGTTATTTCTTAGAAGATCATTAGAGGACATACACAGCAAAAATTAGCTGTGAATGTGAGCCACAAAGTGTATTAGACAAACTCAAATGTGGAAAAGAGAGAAGTGCGCATGTGAAAACAGGGTCCTGGGAGGCTGTCATCATTGAAAGGGGTGGATAATGGGTTTGGAATATGCTCTGAGTCTCCTAACTTACAAAGAATATGCTTTAAACACTTTTGGAAGCAATCTCTAAGATATGAGTTCACATGTTGACAAAAAATCTTCTGGTGAGATTAGCACATTGCTTCTCAATTTAGACTAGAAATTATAGTTATTTATTTATTTTTAAAAATATAACTAGCTTCTCTTCTGGAAAGTACCTCATGATTACTTCTCCCAAGTGACCAATGATCCATGTAACACCAAATGTCACACTGACCAGTGTCCACACATAGAGTCTCACCATTAAGTTAGAATCTGCTTGAAAGTGCTACACAGACAAAGTGTCATATTTTTTTCTGAGAGTTGTATGACAAAACTTCTGGGGAGATGAAGGACACTCTTCTCTTTATCTCATAGGGAACCCATGGCAGACCATACTTTTATGGATACCACCAAAGTACAAGTTAGTGAGCTGATGAGTCTATTGGGATTGTTTACAGGAATATGGGTGAGGGATCACTTACAGGAGGAGAAACAACTCAAAATCAGCCACATCACCAAAGCCCACTCCAACATGAGTGACAGCTCACAAAGCCAGGAATCTGGAGCACACTGCACAGCCTGCGGGCAGCTCCGGAGGGTGGAGAGCATCCTTTCTGGGTACTTCTGTTGCTCTCAACCACTTCCCCACAGCTCAGCTGGTTTCTGCCTCTGATCTCAGAGTCTTTGCAGCTTTAGCTTTCTTCGTTCAGAGGTTTCTGTGCAGCTGGGATCTGCTTATTTGAGCAGAGGAGGGGGCTACTGAAGCTGGTCAGTTTCAAGGAGTTCTTGGAGGGTTTTTTTTTTAATTTTTAAAATTTATATTCATTCATTTATTCATTTGTAAGTGGAGACTGCTCGTTCATTTCCTGGCCACCCAGACCTGAAATAATCACACAGAAAACATATTATTTGCAATAGTGTTCGGCCAATGGTTTGAGCATATTTCTAGTTAGCTCTTACAACTAAAATTAACCCATTTCTATTAATCTGTGTATTGCCACATGGTTGTGGTCTACTGGTAAGGTTCCATCCTGCATCTGACATCTGTCTCCTGAGGTGGCTATATGGCATCTCATTGACTCTGCCTACTCTCTCCTCTGTCTGCTTGGAAATCCTGCCTTGCCCTACTCTGTGCTGCAATAGGCCAATGCAGCTTCTTTATTAACCAAGGTATTCACAGCATACAGAAGGGAATCCCATATCATTCATTCATTTATTTTGGCTCTTTACCTCCTCACTTAAAGAGAGCTCCTTAGTAGGAGAGAAGGTTTGTGAGTTGAGAGTAGACAGTTACACAACACTGAGGAGAAAGTGTTGGGAACTTTATTTGTTCATCATGAGACTATCATCAGTTACGTGGTACATCCACATCTTTGGGGTTGTTCTTTACTGGGAATGTGCACATTCAGGCAAACACAAGGGGGCACTGTTGAAGTTGTATCGTTCATTCCACAGAACTGCCTCTCAAGAGCACTGCTGTTCCAGGTGCCAATGTTAGAAAGACATGTCTCTTTCTTTTCCCAACAGATCACAAATGTGATGGCTTGAAGGAAAAATGTCCTCTACAGGCTGCAGTATTTGAACATTTGGTTCTCAGTTGACAATACTGTTTGGGGCATTTAGAAAGTGCCTGCTGGCTAGAGGAAGTACTTAACCGGGGTCGGTTTTGAGGTTATATAGCTCCTACTTGCAGCTCATTCTCTCTGCCTATGATTAGGTTGAAGACAGAAATGCTCAGTTTCTTTGCCTGCTACTTGCTGTATGCTTCCTCATCATGATAGAACTGGGAGCTCCAGAACCATAAGCCAAAATAAACCCTTTCTTCCATAAATCACTTTTGGTCATGGTATTTATCATAGCAGCAGAAAAGGAACTAAGACAAAAAGATAATGAGTTTTCTTTACTGACCAGTTTTTGGGTGCTCAAATCTAGCAGTTTCAGTTTAATCCTGTGTTAGTATTTTCCTAATTTTACAAGTAAGGTCATTTTGGCTCAGAATAAAAGCACAAATTATATATGTCTACATGGATAGTAAATAAAGAAGCTAGACATTAAAAACAGTAGCTGATATGCAGTAGACAAAGAAGTCAAAGCCCTTAACAACACCTCTGTGCCTGTATTTGCAGCGCCATGGCCCCTACACATGAGCAAATAACTTTAAATGCCATTGCTATATCAGAACATAGTGAAAGGAGGCCATGGATGATTCAACATGAATATACCCTGGTTACATTTTTAAATGGAAGCATAGTTGGAGGAGTTGACAGGAGTCCAAATTTCCATAAGAGAGGTAAAGATAAACTGGAGAAACTTTGCATTTATTCCATTCAAGCTGAACTTAAACTCACTCATAACATAATATTGAAAACAATCTCCTCTAGTTGTGGAATGCCTTTTCCACGTTGTTATTCCACATTCATTGAGTGAATAGGCACACTTTAATTGTTGAATAAAATTCAATTTGTATTACTTGTGCTTGGTTACTTACTTATTCTGAGCATCTAGAATAGTGGCATCAGTCATGGGAAATAAGGAGAGGACAGGAAAAAGGGGAAGTCAAAAGACACAATAACAGAAGGTAAGAGCAAAACATAGTTGGGGGGAGGAAAGGAAAATAGTCATTTGCTGGTTATTCAATGCCAGCGTCAGAGGTCTTTCTCATACGTATGAGACCCAAAAAAGTGAAAGAAAGGCATTCCAGCAGAGAAGTCTTAGGGAAGATGAGAAGAGAAAGACAATTTGAACCTGAACATAATAGACTATAGGCAAGTTCATCTCAAGCCTGCTGGAATGTTAGTGTGATTCCTCGGGACAGAGCCGAGGTCATCAGCCTTGGCAGCTGGTGCCTTTACCATCAAAGCTATGATTCTCATCATGAAATATTATTTTAAAAGTTAAACTTCATGCAAAATCAACATTAGCAACAATAACAACAAAAAATCCAAAATTCAGTAATGATAATGTGATGAGCCATATTAAAACTTTGGGCAAAAGGAGCAAAAACCAAAACAGAAGCCAAAACAGACAAATAAACAAAGCCTTCAGCAACATTATTTTATGAAAAACATTATATTATGAGAAACAATAGAGAGCTTTATTATACCACTAGTGCAGATCTCAATAACAAAGAAGCTATACTGTACTAATAACGTAGAGAGATGGAAGCAGTTATTTCGTCAGTTGCTCTAAACTTTTGGGTGTTTTCATAGCCTTTCTTAAATGTGTGCCCCAGGTCTAGCAGATTGCTTTGGAGTGTGTCTAAATGAGCTTTTCAAACCCCTGGATATTGATATCTTTTCTGGGACTGCAAAGATATAACAATTGGCAAGGAGCAAGAGAATCATAGTTAGAAGCAAGGATGGAAGCATTTCTGACTTAGTCTTAGGAGGAAATTTGCATGGGCAGATTTGTGCTTGCACAGTGTCAAGTAAGAAGCACAACATGGAAATAAATCAGTGGTGGAGTAGGTAGGAGCTGTCTTTCATTAAATAGCCCTTTGATAACTTCCAAAAATACTATGGTGAACTATCATGTGAGCACAGTCTTCCATCTCTTTCTTTCTTTCTTTCTTTCTTTCTTTCTTTCTTTCTTTCTTTCTTTCTTTTTTTTCTTTCTCTCTCTTTCTTTCTTTTTTTTTTAACAATTACTTACTTTTTATTGGAACATATATGTTGTGACTGTGATTTTTGTTTGTTTGTTTTAGTTTTTCGAGACAGTTTCTCTGTGTAGCCCTGACTGTCTTGGAACTTGCTCTGTAGACCAGGCTAGCCTCAAGCTCAGAGATTTACCCAACTCTGCCTCCCAATTGCTGGAACTAAAGGTGTGTACCACCACTGCCTGGCTGTGGTGACTGTGACTTTTAAACAAAGGGAAAATTCTAAACAAAGGAGACAGTTTGTTTAGACTCAAAAATATATATATATTTAGAGAGAGAGAGAGATCATATATAGCTTTTTGAAAATAATTATTTGAAAGGGAACAAAACACAATGCAGTTTGGGAATCACAGAAGAAGCTGCCCAACCCCATCCCCTCCATCCAGAGGGGTATTTACTTCGTGGTCCCAGCCAGAGAATAAAAAGATGAAGTATTTGGCAAAGGGCCTATAGAGTCAGAAGAAGCTCAGCTCGTCTTGTTGTTCTTTGTTGGTCTGGTAGGAAGACAAGATCAGGGGCTTGTTTTCATGAGGGAGGGCTTTGAATACTCTCAAGTGCACAAACATCAACCTGGAGGGAGAGAGGGGCCCAGGAGGGACGGGTGAGGTCCCAGCTCCAGGCTCAGCCCAGCCTTAGAAGAGCTGAGGCAGGACAGGCCGCCAGCAACTCGGCCAGTGGTAAGGCCTGTCTCTTCCTTCAAGGCCAGGAACCCCGGAACCCCAAATTCATCCTCTCAGAACCTGTGTGTGTCTAAAGGAGGATGTTGCAGAACTCTCTGCTATACTCTGAGACCATGTCCTCAGTCCTTCCCAGGTCACCTCAGTGCCCACCTTGATAAAGAAGTTAATGCCAGCCACCGCCTGCCGCCTGAAGGATATGGCTTTAAAGACGGAGAACTTCTGATTTTCTTTCTCTTCAAGCTGGGATTTCATCTCGTCGGCGATCTTCTGCGTCTTGGCTGTGGCCAGCTGCGTGGCGGACGGCGCGCCATACATCATCTTGGCTGCAGTGGACCTGGCGACACAAACAGAGAAGCTAAGGACAGAGACAGCTAGGAGCTCAGCGCTGGGACCCTAGAAAAACCAGGCTAGGCTCCGCCCCCTGGTCGCCTGTCACGTGACAAGAGGCCTCTATTTCTTTCTTTCCTTCCTTCCTTCCTTCCTTCCTTCCTTCCTTCCTTCCTTCCTTCCTTCCTTCTTTCTTTCTTTCTTTCTTTCTTTCTTTTTCTTTGTTTTTGAACAGCTTAAGAAGGATTATCTGTAGATCTTTGGAAGTCTAGCAGAATTTTGCTGTGAATCCATCTGGCCCTGGACTTTTTTTTTCCTTTTGCTTTTTCTAGGAGGCTTTTAATTACTATTTTAATCTCTTCATTTCTTATGCTGGCATAGCTATTCAGGCTGTTGTGGAGCCCAGTCTCAGCATAACAACTCCCTTACCCAAGGCTCATGGAACTTCGCAGAAGAGAGGGTAAAAAGATTCTAAGAGCCAGAAGATCAGGGGATTTGCGGTGAGACTGGGCCAGAAGCTACACCCATAAATTCTCACCAGTGTGACTGCCCAGACAGAAACTGAACAAGGATATTAAAAATAGATATGTAAAAATGGAGAAAGGAAAACAAAGAAGAAAGTCCTTCAGAAAGAACTACAGGCACCTAAAGAATGCTGAGAGCAGGAGAAATAGTCTTCCCCAGAGAAAAGCACACCACTTGGTTAGTCAATACTAAATTAAATGGTCAGCCCTGAACACATGCAAATTAGTATCACCATACAGATCTGAGCAGGCTGCATTGCTGTGTTTGTAAATGTATATATGCATACACATATATGAATGTAGCAACAATTAATGAAAAAAGGAGACCATGAATTTGAAAGCAAGGAGTGTCACATGGGAGGGTTTGTAGTAAGAGAAGGGAGAAATGATGTAATCATGCTATAATTTCAAAAAAATAAAATAAAAAAAGAAATCATCCAGCAGTCAAATTATTTCTTGTAACTAATTCTCTTATGTTTTAAGAACTTACTATTGTCTACCACAATGCAGTTTCACTGAGGCATGTCTAGGTCTAATCTTTTTTATTATTGATTCATATTAGGGTTTGTTGAGTTTTCAAAAGATGAGGGTTTGTGTCTTTGTCATATCAGGAAAAGCTCATCCGTGTATTTGTAAAAATTTCTTATAAGTGTTTCTCCCATCCATTTCTGGAACTATGGTTATGTTGGAGACTTTCTATTTTAATGTTTGCTAATTTCCAAAGCTTCCATTCTCTTGACTCCCTGTGTTCTATTTCGTGTGGTTTATCTGGAAATGTGTCATAACTTACAGATTCTCTTGAATTTTGCCTTATATATTTAACTGTTTAACTTTGAGTTCCCAACTGTCCTGATGAAATTCTTAGTTGCTAATAATTTAATTTTGTTCTTTTTCAAATATCTGGGCTAGCTTTCATAGCATGATATTTCTTTACGGTGCTTTTACTAGCCCCTTCTGTTTACATAAACTTAGAAAATAGATTCATTCTTGATTGTTAAAAGAGCAACCACGTTTGGAAGTTGCTCTACCAGGATCATGATATAGATATTAATTCTCAAAGTTGTTTATTTATTCAAAGTTTGCTGAGTTTTCACTGTGAGAAACACACTCGGTTTGAGGTGTGGATTACAGTGGGTCTCTTGTGTTAGCTGTGAGAAACGTCTTCTCTTTGAAATATATATTAAAGTAGGTCTCTAAAGAAATTGCCATTTGCTTTTGGAAAGAACCTGCATTCACAACCAACTCTGGATGCGTTCCTAAGCATTTTCCAGTTTGTTGTTAGGCAGCATCCAGGAGATGACAATTCCTCCCTTAGACACCAGAGTCTGGTTTCAAATGAGAAAGCATTAACTTCTCCAGCTTCTTTCTGCTCCCTTCTCACATCTCTCTGTAAGTCATAAACAGTGATTCTTCAGGCTTCCTTGATGGTGCCTGCATTGTTTTTTGTTTCTGTCAGCTTGACACAAGCTAGAGTCATCTTGGAAGAGGGACCTTGATAAGAAAGTGTTCCCTATTTGATTGACCTGTAGGCAAGCCTATGGGGGCCTTCCTTGTTTAATAATTGAGGTAGGAGGGCAGTGCTACCCCAGTTGGTTTGATGTGGATTGTATAAGAAATCAAGCTGAACAAGCAATGGGAAGCAAGTGAGTAACCAACATTCCACCATGGCTCCGCTGCAGTGGTTACCTCCGGTTCCTGCTTGAATTATTGCCCTGGTTTCCTTTGGTGATAAAGTACAAAGTATAAGAGGAGATAAAAGCTTCTTACAAGTTGTGTTTGGTCATGGTGTTTATCTCAGCAATTAAAAGCAAAACAGGACATTGCTCTTTCTTCAGGGGTCCTGTTTTGTTGAATTTTATGGAGTCTGAGACCAGCTTACTTTGGGACGTATTGGTACTTGTCGATTTATAATTTTTCATATTTTGTGGTTAAAGAATTCCTTCATTGCATGTCATTGTCAAGAAAGGTGTTAAAAGGACTCTAAAAGCCCATTCAGCTGTGTTAGGTATATCATATCGGTTGGCTCTCACTTAAGTTTTTTCATAATTACAGAGACAGGAAACCTTCTCATTTCTTGCCTGTGTTCGTTTAAGAGAACATAGTTCAGCATTGAGTCTCAAGGAGCCCTCCTCCATCCTTGTCTGCCTGTTGATGGGCCCATTCTTGTGTACCCCAGTGTAATCATTCATAATTGAGACTCTACGATCAAAATGTCTATGTATTACCTAGAAGGTGACATTTTGCATCCCTTATTCTTTCCCTTATTTCTGCAATATTCTGTGAGATGATATAAATGCCTTGTGTAAGGCTGAGCATTCGATCATCACTTATTCTTGATAGTTAAAGCAGTCATAATGTCTCATTATAGTTCACTAAAGAGACTTCTCTGATTAAGGTTGAGAGTAATTGTTCATGGTTATAGACATACATATTTACAAGGAGATCGGACTCTGTAAATTTAGCTAGACAATAGACTTGAATTCCCTCTGAAGAAGTCCTACGGTGTTCTTTACCATGGGGTTTTGAGTGGGTTTGCAGTGACATGTATGGGATTCTTTCTTGTGGTCTCCCAAGTGAAACCAAAGGGCACTTGCATACCCTGCAACAGGCAGACCATTATATTGCACAAGGATGCATATCTAGCCTGATAGGTTGATATTTTGATTGACAGCTTTGTATCTAGGTGAGATCATTGATGCCTTTTTCCCCCTAGCCAACCTTCTTTCCATGTAGCACTTTGAAACAACCCAATACGGAAGAAGATTCTAGTTCAGTTCCAGCGAGGCTTCTGTACAACATACAAACAAGGTGCATAGCATCTTCAAGGAAAAGAGTCATAACATGTAGCTCTGTTGGGTAAAGAAAAGTAACACTAAAGCATGGATTGTTTTGGCAGCCTCCAGGCCCTAGGTTAGGGACTTCTTTATCAACAACTTGTAAAGAGCTATCCCAAATCTAGCATTGATATTTTTTGTTTAATAACCCATACCTGAAGATGAAGGCTGTCTGTCTGTTTTTGTTTTTGTCTTTGCCATGCAAATGTATTTTTTCCAAGTCTTGTTACTTGTTCTCATAATGATTATGGCACTTTAAGTTTTAAGCAACCTGAGAAGTTTTTCCCCTATACAATTTCCTTGTATTAGTTTTGAGCTGGTGTTGGGAATTCTATTTTGTTAAGGTGTGGATTCAATTCACACTCACACTGGATTTACATTAGTCCCAAATCTCTTTATTTTCTGAGAGCATTTCTGCAACTGAAGCTATCTGGGACTTGACTAGATCTCCTGGGTCCCCTGATAAATAAAGTATTTCTCTTAGGTTATAAGGTTTTAGTCTGTGGGTTGAAATTCTCTGACTTTACAGAATTGGCTGTAAGTCACTGAGTTCAAGGTGTTTGCTGCAGATGTATCTGTCTAACGGTTGTGACACTGTAGATGTGTGCAGAAAGGGAGGTGTTCCTGTTCTGGGAGCTGAAGGTTATCCAAGGATATGTTCCACAGTAGACTGCATTAACTACTTCCTGTGGGAGAACAGAACCTTGGGCACTGTTTTCAGATAGCTTTCTGCAGAGGTGGAGGTGATGTGGTTCAGCCTGTCTGCTTGGTGACATGGATTTGATTATGACACAGTGACCATCATTCAGGAAGGGAAGACAAACAGGTCAAGTCTTTGAGACTCCAGGAAGAAAAGAGGAATGAGTGTGAAGCTATTTGCATTATCTATTTATTCCTATTATTATTGATGGTTATTGATGTGAAAGCCATATACATCATAAATTCTTCTCCAGGCTGGTAGAACTCAATAAAAATCAATAAAAATGATATGTTTACACTGCTGTTTTAATTTTATCAAAGCCATTTTGTGCAATGCCTTAGAAGTAGCTATAGGATAGACATTATCTTCCATCAAAATTTTAGTAACATTTGAGAGAGACAGGGAACAGTGGCTATTATTTCAGATGCAGGTTTTTTTTTTTTTGTATTTTGTTATAGATAACTATGTTTGAATTTTCCTTGATGGTGGTGGTGGTGATGGTGGTGGTGTGTGTATCTGCAGACAGAGAAACATGATGATGAAAAAATCATGAGGTATCTAGAGATAGAGAAACAGAACCGCACATGCTGACACATAGTGAGGCGAGAGAGGGACTGTGAGGAACTGACTGGCTTGATGGTGGTGGACTGTCAGCCTAGGGGTTGGGTAAGAGATGGTCTTGCAGTCGTGAGTCTCAAATTTTCTTTCTAGCCAATGCAAGCCTATGGAAGCAGGCTTTCTGGGCTGTAGTTCCGAGGCAATATTGCTTTTCCTTTGCTGAACCTTGGCACTTTTTCTCTTAAGGTTTCAAGTGGTTGAATGTGCCAGGCTCATCTACATTCTATAATTTTTTAATTTTAGTCACAACTAAAACTTTTCATTGTATCCTAAGGTAGCCACTGACCAAATAAACTGGATACTACAGTTAGCCAAACAAATTAATATAACAACACCACCCACAAACCGCCAACA